TAGATATTATGTGGTTGCCATTGTATTTTTTGTATAAAATTTTAAAGAGGGGGTTAAGTGTAATTTCTTGTGGGTTTTCTCATTTTTACGTTACTTTATGTACTATTTATACCTCCATTGATTCAATAAAAAGTAATTTTCTTTTGCAAAAATTTGTGTCTAGAAGTTGGTTTTGCCAACTTTTGAAGTGATTTATATAAATCAATTGCAATTAAGATTATATGACCCTAACATATCCTTTTCCACTTATTTGTCCTCCTCCATTCTCGCCATCTCTTCGAAGCCTTAAACTACTTCAACTCGCAAAAAAATAAAACGAAAGTCCTACCACAAAACCCTAACTTTTTATTTTTTATCCGTTGCAGCCAATCCACAAAAAGATTTTAAACTTTGTACCCAAATATCCGGTTAACGTAGTCATTTGCATTAGTTAGCTAACATCTCAAAACTGTGTTCCATCAAAGAAAATTTAACAATACATTGCAAACAAAATTCAGCTAGAAGTCTATCTCAAAATCCAAAAATTAGTCACTACTTTCCATGGCCTTTCAACCAAGGCTTTTAAAATCAGACTGGCCTGACCAATTCGAGTGGTTTAACTGTGAACTAGTCATATGGCTGGCCCAGTCAAGTTGAAAAATCGGTTCAACATCAAATTGGTGAGGATCAATCGACAATTTGATTGGTGATTCATTGAACAAGTTTAGATTTTATGGAATCATCTGTTTCAAATTTTGCTCTATTTATCACCATTGATCTCTGATCCCAAGGTTATTGTTTATTCTATTGAAAATTAAATTTCTAAAATTCATGAACTTAAAATATCATAATATATTAAAGCTCAAACCGTATCTCCCCAAAATTTTGAATTCTTGGTTCTTTCTCACATGTGGCTTTACTGTCATGAGGTGTAATTTTCTCAACAATCGTACTACTTGTAGAATCTGCACCAGCAGTGATGGGGGCTTAACCATCAATTGTGTGAAATTATATAAAATAAGCGTTTTTTTTTGTAAATTTGCATTCTTTTCTGTCTTATATTATTTTTCTTTCTACGTTTGAATTATGATTTGCTTATTTCTCATCAACAAGGATTAACTGGAAAGGTTATGGTTCCGCTTGGACGCCTTTTTCTGCAGGGAGCTCTCTTTCAAATGGAATGAATCAATTATAACTTGTTATTCTTTATTTTTGAACGTGTTTCTTTCTGATTACTCCTATTTCAGTATGCAAAGCTTGTTTTCTGCGGTTCTTTTTTGTGTTGTGATTGTTAGCCACTTGTAGTCTTGCCTTTTTTTTATGAGTAAAGTGTCAAAATAGTCCTATAGTCTATAAAACTGTCAAATTACTCTCCAAACTCTTTATGTTGGGGCTGAAATAGTCTTCCGTGGGGATTATTTTAACCCATATTGAAAGAGCTCTGAAACTACAATAATTGCCTTCAAAAATTCAAGGGCTATTTTGACAACTTTTTTTCCTTTTTATATATGGTGTGAATATGTTACGAGGGCGCTTAGCCTAAGGGCTATTTAGTTGTTTATTATTATTATTGTTGGGTATAAAGTCTTGTTATGTTTAGGGTTAGGTTTATGCATGAAATTGAGTTGTGATTCTTAGGTCTAGGGTTTGGGAGAGATATTCTACCTCTCAAATTGTAGGAATTGAGAGAGATCGCCTGCCTATCGAATTGTAGATGTTTATCTTTTTATTATTGTTGAGTTGTTTGGATTATGAAGGACAGTTTTTCGTCAAATCAGATCGGGAATGGAAGAAATATTCGTCATCATGGAGGATAGGTTTTCGTCCATAGAAAGACAAATGGAGGATGGATTTCAGAGCATAGGTGAAAAACGGGAGATGATTAAAAAGCTCATAGAGGTGTAGTCCAATGTCATGCCGATTTCAAGTTGCAAATCATAACCAAGGGTTGATCAAGAAATCCTTGATCAGGTCAAAAGTGAAGATCGACTGAGAAGACAACGAGGAAGACATCTTCTACCAACAAGAGCATCACCGTAGGACTTTGAGAGTAGGGGGAGTGGAGACTTTTGAGGGAGTGGGATGGACCGGAAATTTGAGGAGGGATGGTCCAAGGGGTATGAAAGAGCACTGGGGAGCAAGGAGGGAATTGAGAGTTGGGTATGCCTATGACTGGAGGAAGGCGTTTTACCCTAGATACATGAGAGAAATGCCGGAGGAAGAATAAGCTGGGGTGAAGATGTTAGAGTTAAGAAGTTGAAGATGTCGATCTTCAAGTGGGTGGGTATATCGGGCGGAGCAATACCACGCGTTGAATGAGTTAGATGGAGAAATGCATGGCGGCAGGATTGTGTTTGGAGGGGAAGACCTTAACTTGATTTCAGTGGAAGGAGGTTAGATACTCAATTCATTCGTGGGATAAATTTAAGAATTATTTGTTGGAACGTTTGTGAGACCTACACGAGTAATTCTATGCCTTGACTCAGGAGGGGATGGTCATGGAATGCAGGGAGATTTGAACAGTTGTCGGGACGACTGTGAGGGATTTTCGAAGCAGAATGGAGGAAAATTTCATGAAGGGTTTAAAGTTCGACATACGGGAAACACTCTGATTACTAAGACCACAGGGATTGAGGGAGATGATGGAGCTAGCACAGATGGTGGAAGACAATAACCAGATGAAGAAAGCTAACAGGAACAACACAGATGGAGCATCATACAGAACCGTTGCAACCCCGACGATACCAAAGTTCAAATAGTGGAAGTCCAGAGGAAGGCTGCATCAAACATGAATAATGGACCCTAACCGAGAGCAACACTCAAGCGTCTTATTGAGACAGATTCGGGATAAGCAAGCCAAGGGGGTATGTTTTCGGTGTGATGAGAAGTTTACCCAATGACATCGTTGCAAGGATCGAATATTACAAGTTCTCATAGTACCTGGCGAGGAAGTAGAGAATTAAGAAATAGAGAGCTTTGAGGGCGAAAGAGAAACATTCATTTTTTTGCACCTTGACGAGAAGGTGTCTTTTGGGGGGGCTTACGAGGGCACTTAGCCTAACAGGAAATTTGTCTTTTGTACACCTAAGGGTGATTTAGTCATTTATTTTGCCTGCCTATCGAATTGTAGATGTTTATCTTTTTATTATTTTTGAGTTGTTTGGATTATGGAGGACAGTTTTTCGTCAAATCAGAGACAAGTCAAATCAGATCGGGAATGGAAGAAATATTCGTCATCATGGAGGATAGGTTTTCGTCCATAGAAAGACAAATGGAGGATGGATTTAGAGGATGGATTTCATAGCATAGGTGAAAAACGGGAGATGATTAAAAAGCTTATAGAGGTGCAGTCCAATGTCATGCTGATTTCAAATTGCAAATCCTAACCAAGGGTTGATCAAGAAATCCTTGATCAGGTCAAAAGTGAAGATCGACTGAGAAGACAACGAGGAATACATCTTCTACCAACAAGAGCATCACCGTAAGACTTTGAGAGTAGGGGGAGTTGAGACTTTTGAGGGAGTGGGATGGACCGGAAATTTGAGGAGGGATGGTCCAAGGGGTATGGAAGAGCACTGGGGAGGAAGGAGGGATTTGAGAGTTGGGTATGCCTATGACCGGAGGAAGGCGTTTCACCCTAGATACATGAGAGAAATACTGGAGGAAGAATAAGCTGGGGTGGAGATGTTAGAGTTAAGAAGTTGAAGATGTCGATCTTCAAGTGGGTGGGTATATCGGGCGGAGCAATACCACGCGTTGAATGGGTTAGATGGGGAAGAGAAATGCATGGCGGCAGGATTGTGTTTGGAGGGAAAGACCTTAACCTGATTTCAGTGGAAGGAGGTTAGATGCTCAATTCGTTCGTGGGATAAATTTAAGGATTATTTGTTGGAACGTTTGTGAGACCCACACGAGTAATTGGGGAAGAGAAATGCATGGCGGCAGGATTGTGTTTGGAGGGGAAGACCTTAACCTGATTTCAGTGGAAGGAGGTTAGATGCTCAATTCGTTCGTGGGATAAATTTAAGGATTATTTGTTGGAACGTTTGTGAGACCCACACGTGTAATTCTATGCCTTGACTCAGAAGGGGACGGTCATGGAATGCAGGGAGATTTGAACTGTTGTCAGGACGACTGTGAGGGATTTTCGAAGCAGCATGGAGGAAAATTTCATGAAGGGTTTAAAGTTCGACATACGGGAAACACTCTGATTACTAAGACCGCAGGGATTGAGGGAGATGATGGAGCTAGCACAGATGGTGGAAGACAATAACCAGATGAAAAAAGCTAACAGGAACAACACAGATGGAGCATCATACAGAACCGTTGCAACCCCGACGATACCAAAAGTTCAGACAGTGGAAGTCCAAAGGAAGGCTGCATCAAACATGAATAATGGACCCTGACCGAGAGCAACACTCAAGCGTCTTATTGAGATAGATTCGAGATAAGCAAGCTAAGGGGGTTTGTTTTCGGTGTGATGAGAAGTTTACCCCATGACATCGTTGCAAGGATCGAATATTACAAGTTCTCATAGTACCTGGCGAGGAAGCAGAGAATGAAGAAATAGAGAGCTTTGAGGGCGAAAAAGAAACATTCATTTTTTCGCACCTTGACGAGAAGGTGTCTTTTGGAGGGGCTTCTTTTGTACACCTAAGGGTGATTTAGTCATTTATTATTATTATTATTGTTGGGTACAAATAGTTTTGTTATGTTAAAGATTAGGTTTATGCATGAAATTGAGTCTTAGGTCTAGGGTCTCGAATTGTATAAATAGGGAGAGATCGCCAACCTCTCGAATTGTAGGTGTTTATCTTTGTATTCTTGTTGAGTTTTTTGGATTATTACAGAAAAATTGTGTTTGCCCTAATTTCTGCAAAAATCTGTGTCGATTTCTACTTTGAATCGTAACAGAATACAAATTATAATACCTGTATCATCATCATCTTCTATATGGTCAGCAATTATACTTTATATTCTTATCCAAATAATAATCCGCCTCATCAACTCGCCTTATTGCAGCAAGACAAGCACATCTGAGAAAGCAATGGTCATAGGTTTGGGAACACTAAATCTATTTGGAGTAATTGTTCTGGGAAGCATGCTGAAGTACTTTTTTCTCTCACCTTATCTCCATTTTGTTTTCTTCTTTTCTTCTATATATGCCACCTGACACTTAAATATAACAGGAACACCACAGTTGCGCCTTCAGGTTTCATTTCTTTCGTCTCTGATATATTTCCTCTCCTCCAGGTAAAGCTTCTGCTTTCCCTGAATGTTCATGAATACTTTTTGAGGCACTTACGTACATACCATACAATTCTTATGAATTTACATATCTAACACCTAAACTTTGATTTTTACATTTTTCAACACTCAAAATTTTTCTCATGGCATCGAAAATAGCACCGGTACTGACTTTTTATAAGTGAAGTACATCTTTTGATGCATTAGTAAAGTGGTATTAATATAAATATAAAAAAGTTTAGGTGTTAGATCTGTAAATATATAAGAATTGCATGGCATGAATGTATATATCCTCAAAGCGGATCTATATTTTGAGAGGTGTGTGAGGTTTTAATCAACTTCTTGCAGGTTTATGCTGCCTCTTTTTTTGCAATACCATTGTTCCGATGGTTCCTTTTAAGTAGGAGAAATTCTGCTATAGAAAGCAGAAATCTTGCCAGGAGGCAACGAGCTGGAGCTCTTGAATTGCCAGATCCAGCTCTTAGAAAGAAAGTAAGTTTGAAGTTCCCATGCCTTTTTTTTTTTTTAAGTTGCATTCATTTCAATTCCGTATATTTTCAGTTTTCTTTTTTATATTTTATTTTAGTTCAATTCACAAATCTGAATTAATTTCTCCTTACTGCAAACTTGTTGGCTTCTTTGGATGAGAAGTGGCAGGAGGGAAGTGGTGGGAGTAGAGGTGTTAAAAGTTAATCGCCAACTCGACCTGAACCTGACTCGAAGAATATAAGTTTGAGTTGCCCAGAATAATTTTTGGTCAGGTTCGGGTCAAGTATCCTAATCCGTTCGATTTTTTAGGTCAGGTTCAGGTTGACCACACATCCTATAGATTACCCAAAACTGACTCGGCCAATCCTAAATTGACTTGAAATCCACCCTCCAACCCGGAAGTGACTTGAAATTCACCCGATTTTAAGCTGAATAATTGTTTTTCCAGATGCTAAATGGGCTATATGGGTCAGGTTCGGGTTGGCAGGTTGAAGGCTGGTTGAGTTTGGGTTGGGATTTTAAACTAGTATGGTATTCGGGTTGGCTTTGAGTCGGACCCGAATTGACACGCCTAGGCAGGAAGCTTTTTATGAGAGCATTTTGGATTTTTCAGAATTAATTGCATTATCTTAAAAGTTAAGTGAGTATTTTTTATGTGATGTAAAAGATTTGGGTGGTATAAAAGTAAAAAAAAAAAGTAAAGTTTAGGTCTAGTAGAGTTTAGGTCTTAGATATGTAAATGTATAGGAATTGGATGGTATGCATGTAAATGCTGCCACTTATTACCATTTCAAACTTATGCAGACTTCCATTCGCCAATTTCTATCCAAAGAACCATAATGTTGACTGGGCGATCAAATAATCTGCGGTATAAATGGACAAACGTCACACACCTAACAAATCTAAAGCATAACATTTACATACATACAACTCAATTCCTACATATTTACACATCCAACACCAAAACATCCAAATTTTTGCATACATACCATCTTACTTATGTAAAGATTAAGCGATATATGATATAAATACATAGGAATTGGGTGGTATGGATGCAAATGCCCCAAATCTAAATGCTATATTGTTAATTTCCTGATTGGAAGTCAAATTCCTCAAATAGCAAATGCACCCTCCAAATCCCTGCTGCCATATGTTTGTATAATCCATATATGTATGATTAGCAGCTGCTGAATGCAAGAGAGATGGCGAAGAGGTCGGTGATAGGATCGGATAGAATAGTTTATAGCACAGAAAAGGATGTTTTAGATCAGGATTATGAGGCCAAGGAATGGGACAGGAGATTCAAAGAACTCTAGATATCAGACTGGAGGATGTTTTGATGCAAATGGCTGCCGGCTAGATTTATGAATTTAGAAAAATATCCTTTGGAATTCCTAAAAATAATTTTGAAAATTGCACTGCCGACCTTGAAATGAATGGGCGGAATGTTTAGGGGGGAAAAAACAATTCATTCATATTGGGCTTTAAAGTCAAATGTTGATAGTGATGTATTATTGTAAGGAGATTTTTGCTTGTTGACTTTTACCTTGTGTGTGTTTATGTAGTGATGATGGAACGGATGATTTTCATTATTGCATAAAAAACCTTTAATTTAATGGAAGATTTACATACATGCCATTAAATTCCTGCCTAAACGTTTAAATAGTGGTATTTTAATGTGGTATGAAGGGTTGGGGAGGTATAAATGTAAAAAAAAAAAAGGTAATGTTTAGGAGTTAGATGCATAGGAATTGGGTGGTATGTATGTAAATACCCTTTTAAATAATTTATAATTTATACTAATGCTTATCGGCATGCTGTGTCATCTGCGCGGACCAAATTTGTGGGCTCTGACGGAATTAGAATTTCGGGGGATAGGCGTTGACCGCAGTAAAATATTAATTAAAACGTGCTAAATCAAAATTTTATCTGTAAAATAAAATAAAAATAGAATAAATTTAATGAAATGAAAAATATTATTGACATAACTTATGGTTAAGGATCTTAATGTTATCGACATATTTCATTGATTAAAATTGTCAAATATTTATTGTATATCAAAATTCATCGTACCCTCTTTTTCAAACCATATTGTCAATGAATGTACATAAAAAAATTTTCTTTAATATAATATTGTGTTAATCAATGAAAAATTTATGTTTGTGACATTTTTATCTTAATTAATATGTAACATAAATTAGAAATTATTGGGAAAATAAAAAAAATAAAAAATTTTGATGAGCTTTAATTTTAAAAAATTTTTAATTGAATTTTTTAAGTGCAATTAGTTTTTTGTGTTTGTGAAGTGTCTTCGGAATAAAATTTATTATATTTTAAATTATAAACATTTTTATTAATAAATAGTGTATGGTCAAGAATCAATAATTTTATTATATGTTATTCATTCTATCATTTACCATTATGTCTTAAAGTGAGAAAATATTTGTGTACATAAGACGTACGTCCAGGGGTTATTCAGGGGGTACAGGGGGTTGTATCGGGGTTATACCCCTCTATAACCTCCATGTAATCTTCCTGTAACTTACAAATGAGTTCCGCGCTTCTGTAATTTCATAGAAACAAATAAGTTACACAAAAGTTACAAGGGAGTTACACTGAGGTTACAAGGGGTATAAATCGGATATAACCCCCTTGTACCCCCTGAATAACCACTGATGTTTGCAGTGCTGCGTACGTCTTATGTACGCAAATATTTTCCCTTAAAGTGACGAGGAGATATCAATTTAACGCTTTGTTACATTAAATTTCTATTTTTATTTTGGCATTCAACACCTTGTAATAATAATAATATTAATATTAATATTAATGATAACAAATAAAAAATAAAAAAATGTGATCTAACAGGAAGTTGAATTTTTTTTTTTCTTCTGTCTACAGAAAAGAATGTTGAATCGTTTCCTCTATTACGCTCTCCCACTTTACATAATACGCCACGCCCTTTTCATCTAACCAAAACAGGCCGCCACTTAAAAAAACCCCGCAGCTTTTATGAGAGATGTCTCCAGCTTCACAATCTGTACATCACAACAAATAATCCATTTTTATCAGTTATGTATGGAGGCATATGCAGTATATATAGCTTTTAATTACACCGTGATATACTGTACAAGTAAAATCATAATTCGAAGTTCCTAGATAGTGTATTTACAGATGCCCGTTGGAATGTGATACAGGTTGTTTGCTATGTTATAGCTTCACCTAATACACTGTTAGTCAACTGTGAATAAACTTTATAGAAAGATTTACATACATGCCACTCAATTCTTATGTATTTACATATCTAACACATATACTTGAATTTTTACATATATATGACAGCTTATGTGCGCATGAAAATATGTATGTCATTTATATTTTTAAGATGAGATAATTATAATTTTGATGAGATGTGAAGGATTTGGGTGGTATAAATGTAAATACAGATGAATTTGATGGTATGCATGTAGATATCTGTTCATGGTCATCCATCTGAACGTTATGTGTCAGTGGTACATGATGTGGGTTTGAAAATTGTGTGCAGAGGGAGTGTGGGTATTTTCTAAGGGTTTTGGTGGAGCTTCTTCGTCTAGAATAAATTTAAGATAATATGAGTGACAACAGGACCATTAGATTTCAAAAGGAGATGGAGTCCAATAATAGCTTCAATGTGATCTGCTATGCTTTAGACTATTGTTTGTTGACACAATAGGGTTGGAGCATTGAAATGGCATTTTTTTTTTTAAATTATTTGTTTTGTTCCATCAAATTGCACACACATTATGTCTTCATATAGAGCTAGTAAATGAACAAATAGTTAATGACATTTCATGGTGATGAATATTGACTTTAGTAAAGATTTGGATGTGACTTATTTTTTATTGCCATATTTCATTCATCACAAATCTAATCTAAAGACCATAAAGCTCGTGATTCCAGCACAAATAATTAAAAAAAAGGATCAAGCTAATCTAAAGACCATAAAGCTCATGATTCCAGCACAAATAATTAAAAAAAAGGATCAAGGAAAAGAAGGAAAAAAAGAGGAACTGATCTAAGTTTCATTTTCTAAGACGATCTGGCGTTACACAAAAGCGAAAGCGACAGAAAACAGACCAAGGAAAAATTAAAAAGCATGCACGGACTCACCCTACCAATAAAAGTGAGAATATTTACGAGAGGATATATCTTTCTTTCTTTATTTTTTCAACGCATCTTTATATGAGACATGAATAAGAATGACTGAGACAAGAAAAATATAGTGGAATTAAAATGTCTTACATACCATACATACCACACGATTCTTTATGCATTTACATATCTAGCACCTAAATTTTGCTTTTTTATAATTATAACACCCAATTTTTTCATATAAATTACACAAAAAAACATCACTATCTTAATTTTTTAAAAAATGAAGTACATCTTTTCATGCATAAATAAAGTGGCATATATATATATGTAAAAATTGAAGTTTAGTTGTTGGATATGTAAATACATAAGAATTAAGTGGTATGTACTTAAATCTTCCAATGTTTTTTTAATTTGTCAAAATCAATATTGCCTGTTCGTTTTTAATAACATAATTAATGAAAAAGTGAGAAAAGAGTGATCAAACATACCTAATAAAGTAAATGAAGGCAAAAGCAGATGTTGCAATAGTGGCTACTCCGTCAAAAAAATCATTCTGGTAGCCAAATTTTCATCTTTTATTGTATAATATCAAAACAGTAAGCACTGCTACGACAAGTGAAAAGCTCAACCCATCTCTACTCTGCAAAAAAAATAAGCCCAAAAGCACAATAGTCATTCAGGTTCCAAAAAATTCTCATTTAAAGTATTTGAAGTTTATTGTCATAAAAAAATAATCTTTGAAAATGAAATCTGAAAGAAAAGATATTCCTTTAAACAGCTCACTGAGCATTATTCATTTTTTAATCAAAGATCTGTTGAGCACAAAACTTGCTTTTAAAATTTAAATCATAGAATCTTGTCATCATGGGGGAAAAGATGTGATGAAAGTGTCAACATTCTTACCTCATATATTAAAGCGGACGAGTTTGAATATCCAGAAAGGTGACCACCAACGTTGAGGCCAATATTGTAAACCGGGGTTCCATCAGGATAGAAAAGGCCATAATTCCTTTCCGAAGTCGGCCCCGGTTTTAAATTCTCATTGAACAGCGCAAAAACATGGATGTCGATGGGCACGGATGGCATCAATGGCGTCCCCTCATTCATCGTTATTCTCCTCAACAAATTCCCATTATAAGCCGCCGCGTTCTCCGGACTGGCTCCGTGCTCATCTGGATCCCCTTTGGACGGCCAGCCCGTCTCCGAAATCTTCACATCAACGTCCCCCACATGACCCATCGCCTTAATCGCAGAATAAACAGAGTCGATCTGAGCGTAGAGCATGTTATCGTATTTCAGATTGGTGTTCGGATCAACCACTCCTGGATTCGGTTCGAAAAGAACGTATGGCAGAGAGATGGAATTGGGATCATCTTTGTAGGCGAAGTATGGGTAAGCGTTTATGAGGAACGGAGATTTGGTCATGGAGTGGAAGTTGAGGAGGGGTTGGATGAACTGAGATAGATCTCCGCGAAAGGAGCCTGAGGAAGGAGGGTAAGAGTTGGCTAAGATGTTGAAGGAGTGAGCGGTGGTGACGCTTATCTGTTTGTCTAATCCGGCTGAGACGAGGGCTTGGTAAACAGACTGCATTGCGGGGAGGAGATTGGCCATTAAGGTGGTGTCGTTGCTTGAGTAGACCTCGTTGCCGACAGTGATGCAGGTGATTCCGGCGTTGGGGATATAAGGTTGGACGAACTGTTGGAGCCAAGCTTGAGCATTGTTGACGTCCATCATCGTTCCGACGTTTTCGTTTCCGATTCCGATGATGAATTCGACGTTGGTGTTGAGGAAGGCGGAGAGAACGGTCTGGTCGGCGTCGTAGAGCTTAATTCTGTTGATGTTTAGGGATTTGAGGAGCGTGGCGACTCGTCTGGGTGAGGGGAGGTTGTTGGCAATCTGGCCGTAGTTGATTCCGACTCCAATGCTGCGTGTGGTTTGAAGCAGGGAAGCTGTTACAGAGATTAGAGATTGTTAGAATTTACTTACATACCACACAATTGTTATGTATTTACATATCTGACACCTAAACATTCATGTTTAAATGGGTGCCACTGAAATAATTAAATACCAGCATCACTGTCGTTTTACATGTTTTCATGCATAGATTTATGATACAAACATGTTATTGTAGGTGCAAAAATCAAATTTTGGGTGTTAGATATGCAAACACGTAAGAATTGTCTGCACGGTATGTATGTAATTTTTTTCTAAAAAAGAAATATTTATAAATCATATGTTGTTTGAGTTTCAGGGTATTCAACGCTATTCTCAAGCAAAATGCAAAAGTTTAGGAAGAAGCGTCACGCAAGAATAAATAGTTGTTGAAGTTCAACAAACAATTTAAACTTCTTCATTCATTAAATAAGTGCTTGCTTATAATTTACAAAATGTTCAAGTAAATACTAAGATTCAGCAAACTCAAGTTTAAAAAACCACTTCAATTGATTTTAGACTTTGGTGAAAGTGGAATGACATTGCACTATTGCTTGGATCTTACATGAGATTTATTTATTTTAACCTTTGGTGAAAGTGGAAGGAAGTTTGACCATGATTTTAATTTATAAAACCACTTTGGATTTGAACTTAAGTTTGACCCCATGGAGCTTGGATGAGGATGGTCAACCACCTTTCAACCAACTTTAAACAACCCTAACTAAATTTAACCAACTTTTATCCACCTTCTAACCAACTTTCAACTATATTCCTAATTATTTTTCATTAAAAAAAAAAAAAA